TGCAATTAAGGAAAGATCTCCATGACTCCTGTGCAAAAGCTGAGAGTCTGTTAATCCGTATTGTTTGTCACTTAGATGGGTGTTGACCTGACTAAAGACAACATGGCCCTTCAGAGGGTGAGGGAAGCATCAGAGAAAGCAAAGTGTGAGCTTTCGTCATCTGTGCAGGTAGGTGGCTCGGTTCAAAGCAGTCCAGTAAAACACGGATACGCTGAGTTTTGCATTATTTTTGTTTACAAAGCTCTATGAAATTGCTGCTTTTTTCTTGTGGTGGGAGAACAAGCTTCTGTGTAACCAAATTACATCACTTGAACAGAAAGCCCTTTAGCAGGGTAGAGCACAGTTAGCTGTCAGAAGCTGAGAATGTTTGCAGGTGCTGGGTTTTTACTTTCTTCTGGCACTGTGTTTTCTCATCTTGCAGGGAATGTGACCTTGTTCCCAACTTACTACGTATTCCAGAAGTATGATGGGCATCAGGGAATTCAGCTGCAGCTAGTAGTGTTGGGTTCCTGGAAGCACTTGCAGCTTTGTGCAAGCAGTTCCAAAACCTTGGTGCTACTCATTCCACTGAAACAGGCTAATTTGTCCAATAACAAGAAATAATTTCTATAAAGAATCTTTACTTATTTGCCAATAGAAGGGTTGCCCAGACAATGGGCAGCATGTACCCCATATCATTTTTTCCATCTGCTTTGTATATTAATGCTTTCAAGCATGTCCTTTATTCACTGCTGAATAAGGAGCTGGAGAAGCAGCAAGTTGGGGGTGTAATAGTCTTGCCTAAGTGAAATTAAGGTCGATTATATAGTAATTGAAATGGGGTCTCTGCCAATTTCTAGGTTCTGAATAAACATTTTTTTTTTTTTGATGGTGGTCTTTTTGTTGGCCAGTGGGGAGCTCATAGCAAGGAGTTTAGGCCAGTCACAATGGATGCATAGTTCTGCCAGAGACATAGCAGGCTCTGTTTTACTCGCTCAAGAGTTGGCAAATACAGTCTGTTCATACCAGGAAAAACTGAATTCCTTAACTCTTTGGCAGTGAAGGAAAAACAACTCGATTCTGGCCCTATTTTCCCCTAATATTTTTGACCATGCTATTTATAAGTGAATGCACACCTCTAGTCAGTTAGTTCTTGCTGTGTAAACTTAATCTCTAGAGCTTAAAGCATTAATGTTTTTAATTGCTTTGGTTTGTAGTACTTTTGATGTCAGCATGACTCAGCGCTTGAACAAGGTGGTTTCAGTATAAGATCTGCTTTAAAAATCCAGCATGTGAATTTGTAAGATCATTCACAAATGACCATGAAAAGTGGGGATTATGGTCCCTGGCACTGATGTACTTTGGGCTAAACAGCATTGGGCTGGCTGTCAGACACGAGTTGTTTGCATTTAGAAAGCAGTCATGAGTTATTTCCTTTGTTAGTCATTTGGCAAAAACGTTTTGGAACTCTGAAGATGGGCTTTCTTCTGAGTTGTGCTAAAGGAAGAGGATTAAGGTTGTTACTTCTAACGTTTCAGCTCTTACCCTCTGGTTATGATAGAAATTAAATTGTTTTTCTTAATAATGAGAGACCTCAGAACAACACAATATTAAAATTGGAACTTAACGGTTGTAACCATGAGGCGTGTAGCAAAATTAATTTTCCTGTCTCTTGTCTGAAGCGTCAAACATAACAGTATGCCTGCTGCCACTTAGCGACTGGGCTGCAGTGTGAACAGGCACGTAGATGTTTGAGTACAGGCAGAGCAGAACCTGTAACTTGATCCAAAACCTGCGTGTGGCTGCCTTATTTTCCATTCCTGTTTCTCACTCCCTGTCTGTTTTTGTGCTGCAGACTGATATTAACTTGCCGTACCTTACTATGGATGCCTCCGGACCAAAGCACTTGAACATGAAGCTGAGTCGCTCGCAGTTTGAGGGCATCGTAGCTGATCTGATCAAAAGGACGGTAGCACCGTGCCAGAAAGCCATGCAGGATGCTGAAGTCAGCAAGAGTGACATTGGTGAAGTCATCCTTGTCGGTGGCATGACCAGAATGCCAAAGGTATGAGATAAATCTCTGTTACAGGCAAAGCTGGCCTGTGCTTACTGTTAAGGGTCATCTGTAGTGGAAAAGTTGGGAGTCTGGTAACTTCAAAGCTCTGGTAACTTCAGCAGCTGAAGGCCCCCAGGAGCAGAGCAGATGTGTTAAGCAGTTGCATGAAAAGAGCGGCAAGGGACTCTCTCATCCTGTTTAATTAGCTCTGGATCTGGGGGCTTGTAGCTGAGTTACACTTCACAAAGACAAGTGGGAAGTATCAGGAATTGAAAACTCACCTTGCCTTTCTAAGGTGGACCAAACATAAGCAGCATTGTTTGGATACCCAGGGTGTTTTCTCTTGCTGTGGATTTCAGCATGTGATAGAGGTACCCTTCAATGACAATAACCTATCAGTGATCTTTGCCTTCCAGTGGGTTTCTTCCCCTGTGTAGAGCACTTACAGCTTGCTGTCAAGAAACTGCGCAAGCAGAACGGCTCTGTTACCTGCTGGTTGTGTGTATTTGGCTACCTGTGTGAGGCTGGGTGTTGTCAAGCATATTTAACTCACTGATCCAAATGCTTGTTACCCAATACCCAGCCCTTGTATTCTGTGGTGATAAGCACCAACAGGTAACATAGAAGCTTGCTCTGCTGACATGCAGAGTCTTGCAGATAAGGCGCTGTCTGCTGGTGATTTGCTATTCTTGTTCATAGCGATGCAGGCTACTGCTTAGCTACCCTGAAGTCAGAGCTGAACATGTGTCTACGCTGCTCTCTTCAAGGGTACAGCTTGTCCTTTTCTACCGCGATCATCACGATCTCATTCTGTAGGGATCAGTCAGGCTTGGACTATTTGTTTGCTACTAAGATTTGGGAGTTGCAGGTCCTTTCTAGGATAGTAGGTGTATACGTGGTCCTGCTTGGGATAGATTTGGGGTTTGATGTGTGGGGTTTTTTTTTTTTTTTCTTCCCTAAATGTTAAATGAGCCTGGTGGCTGGAGGTGATACTAGTGTGTGCAGAAGGTCACCCAGGCAGGGGAATCAGAGCAAGAAGATAAACAGAAGCTGCTGCTCTGGCCAAAGCTCAAGTGGAGTAACTGTGCTATACCTTCCCGAAGTCACTGCTGTTCCAGCTGAATAAAGGAAAAATGGTGTGGTTAGCTACGTATAAAGCGACCAAAACCACTTCTAGAAGTGGGGAAGCCTTTCCTGACACATTATGTATTCTTTGGGGGTGGGAGACAGTATGTAAATATTGATTTATTTTTTTTTTAATTATTATTTTTACTTTTTTATGCCCAGCATCTGTGGCTTTGAAGCTTACATAATGCCTTCCTGAGTGCCTCTAGTTACAGCTCTGGCTCTGAAATCAGTGCCTGTATGTTACACGCACCACAGAGCCTTCTCTCGTGTGCATTGCTGTGTTCATTTTGCCCTGCTAGGAGGGAACGTGCCTTCTTTGGAGCGCTCACATGGCCAGTGCTCCAGGAAACGTACAGTGGGTGGTGAGAATGTTTCTTTTGTACTGTAAAATATGCCTCCAGAGGGAAAGACTTGCACTTAATTATATGCTCATGCATAAAGTGTCTTCCTCTGAAATGAACACTCCTGGCTTAAGCGCAGAGGAGTTGGACGTTTGCTTATGGCCCAGTTTTCCAGGCACATCACGCTCACCTGTGCTGATGTGTGCCTAATGGGTGTACTCAGGGAGGCGGGAAGCTGTGAGTGGGAACAAAGTCCCACACCCTTCTCTTGTAAGGTGGAGGAGCGGGCTACTGAGCTGTGCTGTGGTGCAGACACCTTATTGCATTCCTGTCTGGATACTTCAGCAATAAATCTGCTGTAATCATGAGCACATCCTTCCAAAAGGGCAGAGCAGTGAAAAGCTAATAACACAGCTCAGACTGTCTGCTGACATAGCCAATCTACTGCTCTGGTGAAACAGCCCATTAAATAAAGTGTTTGAAAATACTGTCCTTCGTACAATTTCCTTTTTTTTTTTTTTCCCTTTATTACACACAAACAAGATGAGCTGTCCTTCTGCTCTGGATTTTTTTTACCTTCCCTGCGCTCTGCTTCCATGGCTGTACTGTCCTTGACAACTGTGTTCTGCCCAGTGTTGGCTTGTACAAGTTCCCGGGGAGCAGTCCTTGACTCCTGCTTGATAAGCATGGAGTCATCCCTTCTGAATCCCGCTGGGTTACATGGAAGGACGGATGTAGGTTTACTTGCAGCTGGCAAACTTGATTGCAAGGAAGTCTCTGGGGAAGGGGTTGTTTAGAATGAAACAAGTGCATTTAACAGAGTGTGTGGAAGATGGGGAATTAGGGAGCGGTCTCAAGCCTGAAGTTTAATATTTCTGTCGTGCCACAGGGTTACACGGCAGCAGGAGCATAAAGATAGAAACCTTTAGCCACGGCTGGCACGTTCTTGTGGCCACAGCACTGGGCAGTAATGGTTCACTCTGCATACAAGCTGTGCTTTCTCTCCATTCAGGTGCAGCAGACTGTACAGGATTTGTTTGGCCGTGCTCCTAGCAAAGCAGTTAATCCTGATGAAGCTGTTGCTATCGGTGCAGCTATTCAAGGTGGCGTGTTAGCTGGTGACGTTACTGATGTCCTGCTGCTGGATGTAACTCCCCTCTCCTTGGGGATTGAGACACTGGGAGGTGTCTTCACAAAGCTCATCAACAGGAATACTACAATACCAACTAAGAAGAGCCAGGTACAAATTGACTCCGGATGGGTGGGTCTTTTGTGGTGGTCTCAGACACCCAGTGAAGGCTACCCAAATAATCCCAGTAGAAAGTCTTGTCTCCTGCTCATCTGGTGAGGAAAAGCAGCATAGAAATCAGATTTAATGTCAGCCACCGAGTATCGCTGTTGCTTGTTAGTGTGCCCAAGAGGGGGGAGTAAGTTGAGGTAATGTGTGCCAAGATCGCCCAGGATGTTTGTGGCCTGGCCATGATTGCAATGTGTGTGTGCCATGATGTAATTATCAACACATCATTCTGAAGAAGAATTTTGTGGAGACCTTCTGTAACTGAGCACCACACCCCTTTGAGATCACCTTTCTTGGGCGGCATATCTTGAAAGGGTTTGTTGGGTTTTTTTTTTCCTGTGTTGTAAGTCCCTTGATCTGTTCTTTCGCTTTGCCTTGTCTGGGTCTGCTAGTGTGTGCCGTTACTGATAACACTTGTTCTCTCTGGGGTGTGGGGTTGGGGTAGGAGCCCTGCTGCTTCGGAAGGATATGTTCTCGTAACGTGGCTGGTTGCCTCTGGAGCTTGCTGCTGGCATGGCATTGCCAGTTTTCGTGTGCTCAAGTGCATATAGGATGAGATGCCAGTGAGCTTGGTTGTTGCTAGTCTTAATGCTTTGGTGTTTTGTAAGAGGAACAGGGGAACGACAAGCATTTAATGATTCTTTTATCGCTTCAAACTAGCTTCTCTTTATTCCTCTCCATGTTTAGTCAGCTTGTAACTGCATCCATTTGTGTGTTGCAATTTACTAGCTATCCAGTAACTTTCTGTTCTTCTTCCACAGGTGTTTTCTACAGCTGCTGATGGGCAGACTCAAGTGGAGATTAAAGTATGCCAGGGGGAGAGAGAGATGGCTAGTGACAACAAACTTCTTGGCCAGTTCACACTGGTATGTTGGCTCTTCAGTATTCGTGACCTTAGACTTGACCTTGCTTGAGAAGTTCAAACCCTTCTCTGTTTCAGCTGACCCCTGAAGGCCGTGTTGGGGAGGGAGTCATCTTACAGAAGACATCTGACCCTATTTGTATTTAAAAAGCAGTCTCCAAAGGCACAGCCTGATTCTGGGGCAGCCTTTCAGTGGCAGGGAAGCAACTAGTGTTTAAGATGAAGCTCAAAGTTTCTAAGGAGTCTTAAGTGGCACAGGGGCTACTGCAGCTTTAGGGCTTAATCACCTAGAAGGGCCCTCTTCACTTCTGGGCACAAAGAGCAAAGAGAGCTCTTTCTTACCAAGCCTGTGCAGCAGGTAACCTGAATGCAGGCCTTTCCTCTGGTGTTGCCAGACAAGACTTGAAGCAGGCTCCATGTTAGCCTGCAGTCCCTAGGGTAACCCATTGCTAGCCCAGGACTGCTTTTCTGTGAAAGCCTGTGGAACTGCCCTGCTTACTGGAGAACAGATGTGCTCCAGGGATTTGCGTGAGCAGCATGCGGCTGACTAACCAGCTCCCTATGTAGAATTGGTTTGGTCAGTGTTGGCAAAGTTTGGCACTGTTACAACTCTTTGCCCAAACTTGCTGTTGCTAGGAAGAGCCATCCTTTTGAAGGAAGCTGTACTGCCTGTCACTCGTTTAATATGGTAGCCTCAGTGAAGTCCAGTCATGTCCAGAACTGAGGAAACGGAGCATCCTGCCATGTCCTGGAGGGGAAGAGTGGCTTGTTCAGCCACAAAGTAGAACCTGTGTCACCTCCAGCCCAAACTTGGGGGCTGCCTCTTCTGTTTTCTGTGCACTTGTTCTGCGTAGAAGTCTGTATCCTGTTAAATCCAAATACTGCTAATTCACTACATGATGCCAACAGGCATTTAGAGGACTCTGCTCTGAGGGTTAGTTAATAGTTGATTCAACTGACAGATCACCAAGGTAACATGCCCGACACTGGAGCCTCGTACCCTGAGCTCATGTCTGCGTGGGAGCTAATGGCTAAGTACTTCTCGTTCTCAGGTTGGGATTCCTCCAGCACCGCGTGGAGTGCCCCAGATCGAGGTCACTTTTGACATTGATGCTAACGGTATCGTTCACGTGTCAGCCAAGGATAAAGGCACCGGACGTGAACAGCAAAGTAAGTACTCTGGGATGCTGCCCAGGGATGAGGAGGAAAGGTGTGGAGTGGTGAAGGTGCCATAGCACACTGGGTGCTGAGGGTAAGGCTAGGCGACTCCAAAGGTAGTGGAGTGCTGCCTTGATGGGCATCCCACAGTCCAGGGGTGGGGACCATGACGCCTGTTACTTGATTAAGGGTGACGTAAGCAATCTGTTGCCAATGCAGCATCAATGCAGTTGAAGTCATCTTAGCCACAGTGCCTCCTCTGGAAAGGAGGGCACAGGGTTATTGCAGAATGAGATAGGGAAAGGAACGTGTGACAGCCGATCTGTAGTTTCATTTTAAGGAAGTGAAGCCTGTGTAAACATAGCGCTCTGCCCTCTCCGTTAGCCTGCTGACAGAGATTGCCACCAATGGACGTGCTCTCCTTGCACGTTAGACAGAGATGAAGCCTCTGCCTGTACCAGGGTCAAGGCAGTCCTCACTGGCAGGATTTTACCATGTTCCAAGTCATTTTGCACTGTAGGACAGTCTGTCCTTGGTCTTGCATTCTGCTGTGATCGCTGTAGCAATGTTTCAGCAGAGTGCAACTGTTTACTGGGGTCTTCTGCATGTCAGGTGTGTGTCAGTCCCCAGAGAGGTGTTGGGCGTACAGGCTGGCTACCTGAGGACTCCCAGGTGTCATGGAGCAGTGCTCCTGCTGCTTACAAGGGTGTCCTGTGTCACTGAGGAGCTTGGAGCAGTGACATCCTGCCCTGAATGGACAGAAATCAGTGTTTTGGAATCCAGCATCTTGTACAAGTTGTTTTTAAGTCGTGCTCCTGGGCATGCTGTTCCTTCGGGAATGCCCTCTGCTAACACATGAAGAGATTGCTATCTGCTTGAGGCTGCTTGCATGAAGGTGCCAGCTTTTGAGGGAGAAATGAAACTGGGAAGATCTCTGCTCAATCCAAGGCATGACAGCTGAACAGATCAGCCCTGTGCCAAGACCCTGTTTTGTTTCTAAGTACCCCATTACAGAGGTCTTGAATTTCAAGTATTTCAAAGCAGCAGGTATTTTGTATAACCACATTGTTAATTTTCATCCATTTAGGCTGGAAATGTCTCTAAATGGCAGGAGGCTTGGGGACTTCAAGCTGTCAGTATATTTTGCTCTGTCGTGCAATGGAACATTAGGCCCGGTGTTCTGGGGTAATTAATGACACAGTTGACATTTTCTAAAGCCTTGTTGTGGGCTCAGAAAATTAATTTGAAACATTTGTAGAGTCCCCTGATACAAAATAGATCTCTCTTGTGTCTCTGACTGGGAAGCCTCTATACTGCCCTTCAGTTGTTTCTTGGAGGCAGCCGCTTGAGCAATCAAATGCATGTTCCAGTTAAGAAATATCTTGTTAACTCTGTATTGGCAGCTTGAAGGTATATGCTCTTCTTAATCATGCTGCTTGGCTTCTGGCAGAAACATGTTACCAAAACCACACTGCTTGTTACTTTGATTTCCTTGTAGATTTTTGATGTGTGGCAGCCTTTTACCTCTGAATAACTGTCTCCTGATGTAATAGGCAACCAGAATTTTTTAGCTACAAAGCTGAACTGCAAAGGATGTGCACGTGCATGTGTGTGTCTTTGTTCAGGGTTTTGTACCATTGACAATTACTATGTAGAAAACTTATTTCTGATGAGGATCTTGGCATACCCTTTTTTGGACTTTGCAATATCATGGATGTTGGTCCTCTCTTTCGAAATGAATTCTGCTTCACTGCAGAAATTAGCTTAAGTTTACTTCTGGCACTAATGGAGGGGAAAAAAAAGGGGGGGGGACCTTTAACAGCCTGCCCGTAGAATCACACAATGTTCACTTATTAAAGGCAGCATGAGGAGCTGGGTGGGGAATGTCTTAAACTGCTATCAGCGTGGGCTGTTTTCCAACAGTGAAAGGAATCTCTGCCCTGGTAAAAACAATTCCTTCTGTTTGGACTTTTTTTCTGTTGGTTGTTTTTTTGCGTACGTGTGCGGTGGGGTCTTTTGTGGTAGGTGGTGGATTTTTTTGGGTTGGGGTTTTTTTGGGGTGTGTATGGGTTTGGTGTGTGGGGTTTTGGGGGTTTTTTTAGTTTTGTAATTTTTTTTACCTGCTAGAATGCCCCTTTGGTTTGGGGGCTTTTTCTGCACCTTCACTTTGCAGGAGGAGTAACCAAAGAATGGTTAATGTGACTTGCAGACCAGTGGACAGGAAGCATCTGGCAGAGCTGGGGAGTTCATAGATCTAAAATGTCAGGCTTTTATCTTGCCAGCAGCATCACTGCCTCTTCAAAGACTGCCTGTCTTTGTACTGCCCCCGGGGTCTTCACAGGTGCAGAGTCCCTGAGGAAGGCTGGTGCCATTGAGAGGGTTTGGGAAATAATACTATCCTCAAAGATGAGAACATGTTCTTTATTAATGCTTCTTCTCTAATGCAGTTGTTATCCAGTCTTCTGGTGGCCTTAGCAAAGATGAAATTGAGAACATGGTGAAGAATGCAGAGAAATATGCAGAGGAAGACAGGCGAAGAAAGGTAATGTGATAGTTACGGTATCTTCCAGCTAGTAGTGTAACCTGCTGGTTACTGCTGTTCTGTGCTATTATCTGTGCCCACCTTGCAGAAGCTGTAGGTTCTTGTCTGCATAGTCTTGAGCTGTTTGCTTGTGCAGTTACCCAGATATCTTCTTGCTTCCCTATATTCAGTTTACTTCCCAAAGTTGCAAGAAGATGTATATGGGTGCATTTGGATCTTGGGTTTGGGTTGGGTAACTTGCCCTAGGTGACTGACCAGCATTTTAATTCTCCCTGAAGAATTACCGTGACGTGGAGGCAGCACTAAGCAAAGTCACCTTCCTGTTACTCATGAGTAAACAGCTTTGCAGCTCTTGCTATGCTTTGTCATCAATGCTCTTTACTGTCTACCTGCCTGTTTATGTAAAGCTGGCCTACTACAGCTGGGTTTTCACTGTGGTGTTCCATTTAAACAGAAGCAGTACAGGGATGCTTAAGCTACTTTGAGTTATTTTAAAGTTTAATTTACAGAACCTGCCAAGCAAAGCTGCACCTCAGCCTCTTCCTTCATAAGTGGGAAGTTGCTTTCCATAGTGCTTAAAATCTCACTGTGGCATCTTGAATGCTATATTTGTCTGAGTGCAGTATTTGCCCTCAGTGCAGGTAAAACCATCAGGAGATGTTTGAAAGCCTCGCTGACTTTGTTAAGAAAAGATTGACACTTGCCATG